CCCAGCCGGTGGGGGACAGTGCGTCTGGGCTCCTCCACGTCCCCAAAGTGGGGGCGCGGTGGGTGACTGCAGCCACCCTGGGTCCCTCGGGGGTTTGGGGGGGGCGTTAGGGGGGGACCCAGACATCTGGGCGGGGGGGGGTGGGGGCGCTGATGAGGAGCAGCAGGTGAGAGGTTTAATTTAGCCCCGGGGGGGGGGATGCCGGCCCCCCCCGGGGCTCAGTGCCAGGGGCCACCGTCCCGTGCCCGGCAGTGACGGCAGAGGGGATGCTGCCAGGATGTGGTGATGGGGGGGCGGACACCGGGGTTCTATTCTGGGCATTGGGGGGGGCGGGATGCTCCGTTACGGCCTGGCTGCCCTGCCCCACGGTGCTGGGGGGTCGGGAGGGGGATCTGGGGGCTGTGTGTGTCCCCCCCACTGCGGGCGTCCCTCGCAGATATGACCGTCCCTTTCTCCCTCCCGGCAGGTGATCCAATACCAGACGGTGCGATACGACGTACTGCCCCTCTCCCCCGTCTCCCGCAACCGCCTCAGTAAGTCTGGGGGGGTCCCCGTGGGGTGTGGGGAGCCCCCAAACTGGGGGGGGGCTGTGGGGTGGAGCAGGGAGAACCCCAAAATGGGGGAGGTTCTGAGGAGGAAGGAGAGAAACAGACACGGTGTGTTGGGGTTCAGAGGTGTTAATGGGGACCCCCCCCCAATTGGGCGGACCCTCTGACTCCCCTTGCCTCCCCCTGCCCTCCAGACCAGGTGAAGAGGAAGATCCTCGTCTTGGACCTGGACGAGACCCTGATCCACTCGCACCATGACGGCGTGCTGCGGCCCACCGTGCGCCCGGGGACCCCCCCGGACTTCATCCTCAAGGTCAGGGGGGACGCGGGGGTCCCCAGGGGCAGAGTTTGGGGGTCCCAGGTGCTGGGGTACAGCTGGGGCTCCCGCAGCCCGAGGCAGGGGGTGTCGGGGTCCCACTGACACACACCCCACCCCATCCCCCGCCAGGTCGTCATCGACAAACACCCCGTCCGGTTCTTCGTGCACAAGCGGCCCCATGTGGATTTCTTCCTGGAGGTGGTGAGTGCCCCGCCCCCCGCCCTGCCCTGGGGACCCCTCCCCGGCCCTGCCCTCCCCGCCCTGCCCCTCCCCGGCAGACCCTGGCGCTGACCCGCCCGCAGGTGAGCCAGTGGTACGAGCTGGTGGTGTTCACGGCCAGCATGGAGATCTACGGCTGCGCCGTGGCCGACAAGCTGGACAACAACCGCAGCATCCTCAACCGGCGCTACTACCGGCAGGTGGGCGGGGCCCGGGGCAGGGCTTGACCGATGGGGTGGAGTCTCAAGGGGTGGGGCCA